TATATATATATATATATATATATATATATATATATATATATATATATATATTTCTGGCTAATTTGTAGGATTGACTGCATCAATTAAAAGCCAAGTTAAAAAATTAATAACTTCTTATTTAGTTAATTGTAAATACTGTCAACTTTTAACTTAAACCAGTTATTTTAAAACATGTTAACTTTAACCTATTAACTCCTTTGTAAATAAGTTAAAATAAATTAAATTTATTGCAAGCTTGCTTACAATGAGATAACTTGCAGTAAAATAAAAAGATTAGAAAATATAAAAAATATAAAATTAAAATAAAGTAAAAATATAATATAACAAAATTATAAATATATAAAATTATAATAACAGTCAATATGCTTTTTATAAAAGATTACTTACATTCATTATTCCACATAAATTAGAGATCTATGATTTAAAAGTTTACTATGCAAAAAAAATATATTGATTTACATAATTCTAAATTAATTCAATTTTAAATTAATTTGTAATTAAGTTAATTTTTGTTTCTGTAATTTTTAATTTAACTAAGCAAATTTTATAACTCATACATAATCAAGCTCAACTTAGTTAAGAAAATGTATTAACTTACCCAAACCCGCTAAAAGCTGTCAATGAGTTCGCATGGCCCTCATATTTGTCATATTTGTCATATAGAATAGAAGTACGAAAAAAATAAAAACAGAACAATCAACATTTGCTCACAACAATATATCATACAAAATATAATACAAATACCTGAATATATATAGCTTTCAATAAATTTGTAATTGTATTAATACAACAAAGAATTTACGTGATTGTATTGATGTGAATTTAAAGATTTATTCGCTACAGTAAATTTGACTCATAAATGTAATGAAAAAGAAATTGTAGAGTTTCCATTGCACCGATTATCGCACGTCGCGATAATCACGCAAATCTACATTGTGAAAATAAAATAATAATTAATGAGACTTCGCTTAAACGAACCAAATTCGTTCAAGCAAACGATTAATCGATTGAACGAATTATATCGTTGCTGCGACGAGTTATATCAATCGATTTAATGGTTGCGATTTGATCAATAATTATATCGACGCAACTTATTGTTGCACTAACGCCTAATTTATTACATTGGACACATTTCTCTGAAGGCGAATGATTACCGATTTGATCGATTCAAATGCTGTTTTTGCTCTGTGTGTCTGACAAGGAACACTAGGCAACTTAAAAATTCAAAAAATTCTGAAACTCTGCAAGTAGAGTAGTTCATCCGTAACACAAAACTGTTTTTTGTTTGTGCGGAATTACGGTTTTAGGGGGTGAAACACCCCTTTGAAAAAAATCGGTTTTTTTTCTTTTGAAGCGAATATCGTCGAAAACTTTACTATATTATAACTATAATATACTATACTATAACTGTACTATATTATAACTATAATGTATTACAATATATACTATAAGAGATACTATACTATACTATAAGAGATAGAAAAATGTTTCAAAGTGAAAATTGAATAATGTCAAGAGTACTTTAGAACTATAATAAAAAAATTTGTTTAAATAGGGGTGAGGTTGGAGGTATACAATAAACAATTAAAACAAATTTTTTTATTATAATTCTAAAGTACTCTTAAAATCATTCAATTTTCACTTTGGAAAATTTTTTCTATCTCTTATAGTTTCGACGATACCTGCTCCAAAAGAAAAAAAAAACAATTTTCTTCAAAAGGATTTTTCACCACCTAAAACTGTAATTCCGCACGAACAAAAAATAGTTTTGTGTTGAACTACTCCACTTGCACACAAAGTTTCAGAATTTTTGAGTTGCCTAGTGTTCCTTGTAAGTAAAAGACTAGTACATATAAAGTAGCTGCCAAAATTTATGTATACTTATCTAGCTGGGCATTATATTGAGCGCGCTCGCGTGGTTAGTGAGCGCACGGTATTCCGATTGATGTCGAAATTGTGTTAACATAACCGTGTAATAGTGCTTTCGGCTTCGGGGATCTACTCGGCACAATCGTCGAGCGACTACTAGGGGGAACCCAGTCGAGCGGACGGCTACCTGCCAGCTACAGTGCTCTCTGCACTCTTTGATCGCTCGAAATTGATCGAGATCCACTTGCGCGCGCCGAGACAATCATTCTTGCACGTTCAAGTATGTCTCGGGGCGGAAAATAATTAAACACTAAAAGGAATCGTCGCGACGGAGAATCGATACGTATGATATCTCCGCGGTACGCCTTCGGTGCTGATACGGTATCAAGGTAATTTATATTTCGTCCGTAAGCACACACGATTGCTCAAGAGCAATGCTTCTCGCGGCCGATCGATCGTCTTATCCGAACCGCTCGCGGCCACGTATCGCCGCCGACAATGCGAATGGCGCGCTTTTGCACAAAAGCGAGAGCCAGCCAGCGCGAAAATGAAGAACCACAGCAGCGCACGTGGCGGCACAAACGAGCAGGCTCGAAAAAGTGCTCGCGCGCGAAACACTCGGCTCGAAACACCCGGGCCGAGCATTGGAACACACGCGGGCGAATTACGAACGCGGGACATGATCTTACAATAAGTCAATTCATTTCCCAACTGCATAAGAACGGGCCGATAGAAAAAAAAAAAAAGACGCGGACTGGATATAGTTATTGCGGCTGCACACGTGAACAGGTCGGTCCGGTCGAGTGAGATCAAAAGAGAGATGAAGAAAGAAATACAGAAAGAAAGAAGGAGAGAGTGAGGGGCAAAGGGGGGAGAGAGAAAGAGAATAAGAGAGACGAACAGACGAGAACGAAGAAGAGAAGGAAGAGGGTTCGTAGAGCATGACCAGGGCTGGCGAAGGGAGAAGAAGAACACAGAACGAAGCGCACGTATACGCATATGATGGCATCAAGGGCGATAAAGGCGCAGAGGAGAGGAAGATAGAAGGAAAGAGAAGGAGAGGGAGACAAAGAGAGAGAGAGAGAAACAGACAGATAGACAGGTAGAGAGAGAGAGAGATGCAGGGAGACAGCGCTGTCGCACAATAATCGAACGTGCTCGCGGCGCGATGTTTGCAAAAGAGCGATATCTAATCGGCAAAATGCTCGTCGAAAAGTAAACCCAGAACAGGGTGGAGCACCGGCGCACATACGCCGTCTCTTTCCGTCGCGCGTGGCCGTTTTCGTCCGTCCGTCCGTCTCTCGCGCGCGCGAACGGGTTATGCGCGCAGGAGAGCTTCCTCTCCTGGCGGGAATACCTGCCGCGCAGCGCGCGCTTCGTTCGCTGTGGACTCGTTTGCTGATATCTACACGCGTATACGTATATATACACACGCGACACACACACACACACACACACACACACACATAAACACATATATAGACACACAGGCACGCACGCGCATGCACACTTGCGCGCACACACTGGCGCCCCGGCACACGTATCAGCGTATATACCACCACCGAGTATTGTATAATGCAGCCATTGATAGCCGTCCTGTCTTTCACGCACGCGATCTGTTGCAGTCGCTGCAACCCGTGTCCGGTGACAGCCTCCAGTGTCCAGTCTCCCTCCCGGTGAGTGTCCACAAGATTTATTTTCCCAGGGCAATACATATGGGGTGACGTGGTGAAAATCGTACGCGCGCGTTCTTCCCGCCGCGAGAAAATGGGGGAACATCGATCGGGATCGAGCGCGATGCACCCTCGAGCGCGGCACGATGCGGAGTAACGACAACCGGACGTTGTAGTTTTCAGGACGAGGGGCGCGCACTTTCGACGGAAGATCGGTTTAGTGAGGTGACACTTTTGTCGGTCGGATATTCGTATTGGCTGTGTCGGGGACATATTCTCAAGCTCTCCGTCGGAGATGGAAATGATTAGGTACGTAAGACAATGCGTTTACTATGCCGGCGGGAGCGATTATACCGCGAGCCGCGTGGATAGGCTCTGAAGAATGGCAGTTTTTCATCGATTCCAAGCGGATCAATACCAATTTCAAACGATATGAGCCTTTGACCACCGGCATTGGGCCTAAGAAATATTAATTGCACCTAAGAATGTTACCCATTATTAATATTAATTAGCAGCAGTCCTTTCAATGTTGTGCGAGCGAAAAATCCACTGTAGAGAAAGAGAGGAAGGCAAATAGAACATTAGAACTACCAACGACTAACGATCTGTTAATTCCTGTCAATCAAAATGACAGGTTTTTGAAAAAATACGTGATACAATCCAGACAAACAGGTATATAAAATTGGCAGCAACTTTACTAGTCAGTTTGTAAAGATTGTGTTCCTCAAAAGTATTTGATATTGATTGATTAGTTGATTGCATGTTTATTTATCGTCTTAAGACACACGGTACTCTGTAAAGTAATTATATAGAAATGCATATATCACAAGATATTATATATATAAAATTTATACATTTATACATATATACATATATACATATATACATATATATATACATATATACATATATACATAAAAAATAAATGTTTCAATGAGAGAAAAATCTTTCTCAAATTTAAATTTAATATAATATAAAAATATAATAAACGTAATAAAAACTAATATTTTTTAATTTGACATAAAAGACAAACTTTTTATGTTCTCTCAACAGTATTATTATACTTAACTACTATTATATTTATATGACATTTATATTTACCACATAAAATGACGAAATAGAGATACGAGAAAGAGATAAGAAAAAAATTATCAAAATTTGTATCAAAATGTCATGTGTACAAAATGTAATGTACAAATTCGAAGGTAACTCTCAATAAATTTATTGGTCCATGTCAACATAGCAAAAAAACTTACATTATTATGTGATGTAAATTTAACGATTAATTCAATACAATAAATTTGTCTTATAAATGTAATGAAAAAAATTGTAGAGTTTCTATTATTGATTGTTTTACGCCGTGATAATTTGGGAAAGGAAAAAAAGTTTATTTACTCTTTCTCGTTTCATTCAACATTCATTGAAAATATAAGATACCCCATTGTAATTTTTAGTAAATTTGAGTAATTTTTATAAAGAATTTCAAACCCCCGTCATTTTGACTGCTTTGGCAGCTCTACACGGAGAGAGTTTTATAGTAAAAAATTATCGAGGAATAGTTCGACATTCCGCGATAATTGACTATTCTTTCATAAGTAAATGCTATTTATACTTAAACTGAAATGTGCTATTAAAAAGTTTGCTATATTCTTTGGCAAGATAGATGGATTAATAACTGCACTGAAAAAATTTTTGTGTGGAACTTAACACATTTTACTTGTCTCAATTTATCCACTCTAATTTGTGTGTCAATTTAACATAAGATAAATATGTTGAGAAATAACAAAACTTGTCTGTACGCTATACATATAGAATACGCCGCCAAGAATAAACATGTCATATATATAAATTGCATTATTTTTAAACTGAGAAATGGTGAATGTAAATTCCACGTAGAAGAATCGGGATAACACAACGATGATATACTAAATTAACATACGAATACGTTAAATATTTAACACAAAAGTTTCTACACAGATCGATCTCGATACAAATACAGAATGTTTCTTACCTTGAGTCTATTCCTGTACTGTTAGGAATAAAGAGACAGAGAGAGAGAGAGAGAGAGAGAGAGAGAGAGAGAGAGAGAGAGAGAGAGAAACACAATAAAACTGGAAAGAATTTATACAAAAAAAGACTATAATATATTTTCTTTCTGTGTAGCGTTCAGGAAATATTCATCAGTGATAACAGCTGGATAATGTCATGCGCGCGTTACGCGATACATTAGCGAAAAGAAATAGCCACTTGACAGTTCGCCTTCTCTCGGTGGTAGGCCGCGTGCACGATGAAGCGGAAGCGAGCTACCGTGAGTTTACGCAACGTTCAAGTTCCGTCGTCGCCGCCGCTGTTCGCGCAAGATCGGCAAGAAGCGTGGCGAGAGCAAAACTTCTTCTTCCCGGTCGTGCTCGCGACTTTCGCCATTAATCGCGCGTACGTCGGGGGTATCGTCGTTATTTTCTCGATCGCGATCTCGCCGTCTCCCCGTCTCACTTTCCAGGCACTGTCTTTCTCGGGGCTCAGCGGTACTTAACGAGCAGATCACTTTCAGCCACGGCGTATAGCCGCGATCAATTTACAAGCGTAGCGAACCGCCGCGGGACCGTGCGAGTCGCGGAAGATTACGATCGCCATGCCGGTTCGGTGAGAGAACCGTTCCGACCATCTTTCTCTCTCTCCTCTTCCTCCTCCCCCCCCCTCTCTCTCTCTCTCTCTCTCTCTATCTCTCTGCCTTTCTTTCTTCCTCTCTGTCGTTCTCTCGTTCCTTCGTAGGTGGTGGTGGACGAGTTATGATTCTCGCGCGGCGATTTGCACGACGTGGAGAAATACGCTGAAAACGATCGGGACACCCGTTGAGTGTTGGAGTAGTCGATCGCTTCGCCGCTCGCGAACGCGCGAAATTGTGTAAACGGAATTGAATTACCCCGTCCATTGCGAGAACGCGAAATTCGCGGGATAGGTTCGATTTATTGGACGATCGCTGATGGATATCCCGCCGAATGGCTGTCATTTTGCGGATAACTAAAAAATCGCCGACAATATTCGATCATGCGCCAAATGCGATTTAATCTTATTCCGATCGTGCGCGTTAGTGACATCTTTGCGAGTCGGAAATTAATATCTCGTCTTGTGATATTTATCGATATTACACACTCAGAGAAAAAGACATGGCAACGGCAACTATACAGATAATAAATATATAAGTTTTGCGTGTAGAATTAATGGAGAAAATATTATAGTAAAAATGACGTTAAAATTGTATTTCTTTTATATTTCTTTGTAATAATCTTACGAAGTTAGATTATACTGCAATTGTAACATACATTACTATAGAAATAGAGACATTTAATAATCTACGTATTATATAAAGAACACTTAAATAAAAAAACATTTCAATAAAAACACAAAAATATTTTGTAATAAAAATTGCGTTAAAATTATATTTTTTTCACAATGTTTTTATAAAACTAGATTCTGTTAAAATGATATAGTGAATTACTATAGAGACAGTAAATTTGATAATCTATATAAACTGATAAGATATAAAAAGATATAAGAAAGATATAAAAAACATCCAAATAATTACAACAGTCTTGTAATAAAGAATCAAACGTGCATTTTTGAACAAACAGATATAATTTCGATTATAATTCTATAATGTCCAAGATTACAAAAATTTCGTCGCAATTCCTGCTGCAATACTCCATACTTTTTTTAGTTTCGCTCAACATTAATTAGAAATATAAGCTGCACCGTTATATATTCGAGTAATTTTTATAAAATAAATGTAATACTTTTCCAGAGTCATCATTTTGACTACTTTGGAAGTTTAATCAAGTATTTTGTAGTTTAATAAAATAATTTGTATTTGTAGGAAAATTATATATTGGTGAAAATGATGTGACTGATAACACTTTTCCTCTTTTGTGCACAAAGAAGAGTTTCGGAACTCTTCAGAACAAAAGAGGAAAAGTGTTAGACATTTGATACTTTTTCTTACTTTGCCATTTCCGGCAGCGTATATACATACAATATTAATCTTACATACAAAACGCATATACAGAGTGTCCCAGATTACCTTCACAATCTTTCGTAAGCACGAGTGAATTGAGACGAACACAAAAGTCTCGTACCGTTTTGCGATATTCGCAATAATAGTCGAGGTATTAATTAAAGAAAATTGGCGAATGATCACGCGCGATATGGTAGATGAGATGCAGTGGCACCATCTGCCGTTATATACTTATACATTAAGTCAAACTGAACGAAAAAGTCCTCTACCATTTTGCAAATGACCACATAGATTTTTAGATATTAATTAAAGAAAATTTGTGCATTATGATACATAATCATGTAATAATTTTCTTTAAATAAATACCTACAAATCTGGTTATTTGCAAAATGGTAGACGATTTTTTTGTTCAGTATGACTTAAAGTATAAGTATATAACGGCAGACGGCGCCACTGCAGCTCATCTACCATATCGCGCGTGATCATTCACCAATCTTCTTTAATTAATACTTCGACTATTATTGCAAATATCGCAAAACTGTACGGGACTTTTGTGTTTATCTCAATCCGCTCTGCGTCCTCACGAGAGATCGCGAAAGTGATCTTGGATATCCTGTATAATTGTCATCTATATTATTGCCATTATCACGTACCTTTCTCTGAGTGCACGCGAGACTCGTCGTCAGGCCGTTCGCTGAGTCGCGACGATTTTACAATAACGTAACGCGAATTCGCAGCTTTCTCAGGCATCGTCTTCCAGTCGCACGCGCGCGCGCGCGAGTGTCAGGTTCGGCGTGATATTGACACGCCGCTACCAAGAGCGGTACGCTAAGTAAATAGCGCGAGCTAAGAGTACGCCCCGGTATCGTGGTTTCATCTCGCACTTGTCAATAAGCTTATATCAGCGGCGATAAAATGTCGCACATTGCAGCTCAAGATTTTCGACACGGTGGGAAAGATCTCGCCGGTTAATCTTATCGCTCCATTGTGC